CCAGGCGGCCGAGGGTCTGGCCGAGGGCAGGGCCCGGCCGCCGCCGGGGCCCGACCTCATCTCCTTCGGGGCCGCCGGGCCGCCCCGCCTGGAGCGCGAGGCGCCGCCGCCTCCCGTACCCCCCAAATCCGAGGCGGTGAGTGGACGCGGTGGAGGCGAGAAGGGAGGGAGCCAGGGCGCTGAGCTCTGTGGGCTCTGCCCTCCAGGGAGGTGGCCCGCCAGGGGGCAAGGTTTGGGCCTGGAAAGCAAGTTCTTGGCCCAGCCTTGGTGTCTCGGCCTCCAGCCCCTGGAGTGTGTGGCAGAGGGAGGCAGAGGTGTGGGGGAAGAGGAGAAGGAAAAGGGGAAGGAGAGGCAGGAGCCTTTGTAGTATGGCAGACCAGGGATGGTAGCTTTGGGAGTTGTGGGACAAAAAGGCCAGTGGTCCCTAGCCCCAGAGAATTTGGGATGAGCCTAGAAGAGCGTCACCCAGAAGGTTCCACAGAACAGGAGTCCTTTAAGTTGTCCAGTGAAAGGAAGGTTCCATGGTGAAATAAGTATAGAAAATGTGCGTATGGTTTTCAGGCCTCCCCCTCCTCTCACTTTGGAGCCACAGAACATTGGTATATTAAAGGCTCTGAGAAGTCCTGCAGTGAGGAAACGTTTTTATCTGTGTTGAGCACAGAATTTCCCAACCATACTTGTCCACAGAATATGGACAACACCTGTTAACATCCTGTGGCGTCCACTTTGAGTATTTGAACTATAAGGAAGGAATCCATATGACAGATATTTTTCCTTCCCTTTCTCCCCCCATCATACCTTTTTCCTCTTCTTTCTCTCCTTTTCCCTGAGGAGGGAATGTGTCTGCTTATCTGATTGTTTTTGGTCTACTTCTTTATTCTTTTTCTTACATTCATGATGGATTTCCAAGGCCATAGGAGACAGTGTATGTGTTGTGGGTTCTTGAGTGAAACAGGCTGGACAGACTGGAAGGGGTGGGGTGGTGGGTGGCTGGGAGAGGAGTGGGGTGTAAGGCAAGGCAGCCTCTTGGCAAAGTGGGGCAGAGTGTCAGTCCCGGACACCCCCTGGGGACAGGGGGTGGACTCCTGGCCCTCTGCTTGCAGGTGAAGGAGGAGTGCCGCCTGCTCAATGCGCCCCCTGTGCCTCCCCGCGGGGGCAATGGCAGTGGCTGGCTCTCGGGCAGCCCCCCGGTGCCCCCACGCTTCCCTAAGCTGCAGCCTGTCCACTCTCCCAGCTCCAGCCTCTCCTACTACTCCTCTGGCCTCCAGGATGGGTGAGTCCCTTCCTTCTCTTAGTCCTGGGTCCTCCCAAGGTGGATTGAGGCAGGGAGGGGAGCCAGTGCTGAGGAGGAGGAAGACCGCAGGCCTGGGGTTTCAGAGGGTGCAGGTCTCCGAACAGTAGCCGAGGGAGAGGGATTGGGGTCCGGGGCCCCGGGGCCTGGGGCTCAGTGCCTTGCTCTTCACCTTCCTGTGTCACTTTGCTTCTTTCCTAAAGGATGAGGATTGGATGGGAGCATTGCTCTGGTTCCCTCTAGACTGGGATCTGCCACAGGGTGGAGTGGTGCCTGCTATTTTAAAATTTTTATGTAATTTAGTTTAGTTTAATTTTTCTTGCGATGGGGGATTCCAGAGGAAAGACTAGGGCAATCCCAGAGGTCTCAGGCCTTGGGGGCTGGGGTACAGGCCGGTGTTGCTGAGATCAGGGTGGTGGCCTTTGTGACCTGGTAGAGCAGTGGTTGGCTGTGTCGTGTGACCCTGCCTCGTCTCCCTCTTGCTCTGCCTTACCCTTCCACGCGTGTCTGTCTCTCTGCCCACAGGGCAGGTTCCCGCAGTGGCAGTGGCTCTCCATCACCGGATGCCTACTCCCTCTATTGCTACCCATGCACCTGGGGAGACTGCAAGGTGGGCGAGTCTTCCAGCCGCCCACCCCCGGGACCCTTGCCCTCAACCACACAGCCCAGCCAGGCCTCCCGGGCCCTTGCAGAGCCCCTGAGCAGTCGAGCTGCCTCCCTCTTGGGGGCCGACACCCCTGTCAAGGCCTACCACAGCTGCCCGCCTCTGTTCAGGCCTTCTCACCCCCAGAAACGCTTTGCTCCGTTTGGAGCTCTCAATCCCTTTTCGGGGCCTGCTTACCCCTCAGGCCCTTCAGCGGCTTCCTCTTCTGGGCCCACAGCCACCTCGGGTTCCCTGGCTACCTCCAGCCCTGCTTATTCCCCAGGCCCAGGCTCGCCAGGCCAGGCCTATTCAGCTGCTCCCACCTCCTGTCCCACTTCCTCCTCCTCTTCCTCTGAGTGGCAGGAACCAGGCCTGGAGCCCTTTGATCCTTTTGAGCTGGGGCAGGGTGGTTCTCCTGAGCCTGAGCTGCTGCGCTGTCAGGAGCCCAGAGCTGTGGGGGCAGCAGGCCCTGGACCTGGCCTTTCGCCACTTGGACCCCCCAAGGCCTTTGAACCTGAAGGTTTGGTGCTGCGGCAGGTTCCTGCCCCCCTGTCACCAGCGGCCCTCCAGGGGCCCGAGGCAGGCGGAGCACGACTCCTCCTCACCCAAGGGCGTCTAGAAGGGCCTCCTGCCAGTCCCCGGGATGGGGTGACAGGCTGGGGAGGCCGGGATGCCTGCCCCTGGCAGCCCCCTGCTGACCTGTCTGCCCTCTCCCTGGAGGAGGTCTCTCGAAGTCTGCGTTTCATTGGGCTCTCAGAGGACGTGGTGAGCTTCTTTGCCCGAGAACGCATTGATGGCAGCATCTTTGTGCAGCTCAGTGAGGACATCTTGGCAGACGACTTCCACCTCACCAAGCTGCAGGTCAAGAAGATCATGCAGTTCATCAAAGGCTGGCGGCCCAAGATCTGACCTTCCCAGCTTTAGCTGCACAACTGGAATGCTGGCATGGGGGCCCTGGGGGCCAGCCATGGGTCTGCAGGGGGACAGCACCTCCAGAGGCAGGGCCTGCCTGTGGGGAGAATCTATGCCAAGACTGAGGCTGCTAGGCAGCCACTCAGTCCAAGGGAGACACACTTGAAATGGAGTTCTCTGGGGCCAGATCCCCGCACGGGGACGTCTTGCCTTTGAGTGTGCAGAGTACGTGGAGAGGAGGCTGGAGGCACAGGTGTGCACCCCAGCCTGGTGACACATTGCTGCAGTTCCCATGAGGGGCATCAACAGCTGGCTTGCATGGTGACCTAACACCTTCCCATGCCCTGCTAGAGCTTCACGGACATCTTGCACTTCTCAAGCGCGTAGGTTCAGGTTAGAGACAGGGAAGGAGGTGGTCCATAATTTAAGCACAAATTCCCCAACTGCCCTCTCTCCTCTGTGCTCTGTGGGCTGCTGGCCTAAGCTGCCCCAGAGTCGGGGTGCTGATTTCTCTATCTCTGGGATGCCCTTCCTTTCCTCCTCTACTCCACCACGAGTTAGTTAGGTCCCTGGCCCTGAGCACAGGTGTATCAAGTACAAGCCTTGCCACTGCACCTCAGAGGCCCCACCTCTGGGTTTTGGTTCGTGGGTGACGACTTTGGAAGAGCACAGCTCTGCTGTTGACCTACTCATCTGGTTAGGGAGGCAGATGCTCCCTGACGTCTCTAGTGCCCTGGCTTCTGCCCTGAGCTCACTGCAACCAGCCCTCCATCCTGCCAGGTTGGGTCCAGTCTGCGAAGACTCTGACTCAATGGAAGAGCAGGTCAATTGAGGTCAGCTGCTCCTTGATTCAGAGTCAAGTGGCCTTCAGTTACTGCCACTTCCACCCGCCTCCTACTCCCATCACTTGACTCGGGCAAACACTTGGTGTCCTTCCCTGGTTTTCTGTCACTGGCACAGGTGGGACGGGTGGGAAAGAGAAAGCACAGAAGCTTGGGAAAACCTGTCTTTTTCCCTCCTCCTGGAGCTCAGTCCTCCTGTCCTTGTTCACTGTTTCAAATCAGGTCTCTGTGCCCTAGAGCTCACGCATTGTGATCTGCTTGGTGCCCAGAGCGGGTTGGCTGTTGCGTACAACCACCTACCCGCCCTGTGCTGTTCCCTGTCTCACCTGCCTGGAGCCACTGATTCTTCTCGTGCCCACTGGCGTCAGGCCTGAGGTGCCAGCCTTCTCTTCTGCCTTACCTAGCCTACCTGGATATTTATTTCCTCCGTTTTTCTATCTTAAGAGTAGTGAGGCTCTGCTGGAGCTCATGCCCCAAGCAGGCTGCCTCAGCTCTGAGGGAGGGGAGTCAGGAAGCAGAGCACAGAAGCTGCGATGCTGAGACATTAGGTTTCCTTGCCAGTCACTTAATGAATCCTCAAGGACTAGTGAAATAAATGCTAGACCACTGAAGAAGAGTGCCACTGGAATTCTGGGTGTCAGCTCCTTTCTTCTTTTGGAGGGCCATGGGACCAACAGGCACAATGTGTATGCTCTGGGCAGAAGAGGACTTTGGAATGGTGTGTGCATGCAGCTCATTCTTATGTTCCAGAGGCAGCTGGTAGTGCCGATCCTCATTCCTTTCTGAGAGCCCCTCCCCAGCCCCTACAAGCACCTTCCAACTCCCACTAACATTTCAGCATAACTCACAGCTACCTAGTGCTGCATAGTAGAAAGACCAGACTTCAAAGCTCCATGCCATTAGCCAGGGCCCAAGTTTAATTTCCTGCACTGGCCAAATGCCTGCCTTGAGGCTCTCTCAGACCCCCACATTTAGAAGCTGTTAATGGCCTTAGTGTAGAGGATCAGTTCTCTACCTTCTACTGGTCATCTGAAAACCCCCACTCAGAGATGACTTGGTTTGAGAGTCTGACGGCCTGGCAGCCAGCTGTGAGTGTTTAGTAGGGCCAGAGCTAAGCCCTCTGCCTGCCAGTCCTGCAACAGCTGGGCCCCGGGGAATAGCTGAGGTACTCGCAACTGGAGCAGGGGCAGGAGTCATCGGTACTGTCTCAGAGCTCAGAAAGCCCAGTGTGATGGGACTTGATTTATGATTCTGCACACACTCAGCATGGGTCCTTCTGCCAGACCCAGTTAGTTAGGAGCCTCAAAATTGTTTACCCAGACTGGGCTCTGCTTCTGCCAGAACACAAGTATAGGAACTTTCCACACCAGAGGGGAGTGGAGCTATCAGAGCAGAGGTTGACTCAGCATTCCTAGTACTGCTCACACATGTGGCCTCTGATCATTGTGCAGGCACCTTCCATCTTCCGTGCTCTGGGGCAGCCAAGAAGTGCAGGACATATTGACCAGGAAAATGTTATCTCCTCTACTTAACCCCATTGTTCCCAGAAACATCCTGAGGAGCATGCGTCAATGAGTCACACCAAGAAAAGAAATGGGTAAAATTTTGCAACGAGGAAATGCAGTTTGGGGAAAGAAGTCTCTTGTATCCTGGTCCTCCATACCTGTTACACTTTTGCTGCTCTGCTCAGCCAGGGCCTCTTCCCCATTGTCAGCAGAAGCCCGGCTAAAGCGCTGAAATATAGTCAGGTTTAAAAGGCTTTAGGCTCATAAAGTTGCACTGTCATCACAGTCTCTCTCTTAAGGTGCTGCCTAGAACTCTCCCCACACACTCTTTGCCCAAAAGCACAGGGCTTTATTCCAGCTCACTCCTTGAAGGAGTGGTTTAAACCAGAAGGGCAAAGACAGAAGAAAAAGGAACAGGCAGGCAGAGAGGCTGAGAGGAGTCTGGTTTTTATTGTTATCATGTATTTGGCTGGGTGCAGAATTGCCCTCACCACCACTGGCCACCAGTGGCCTCCCAGGAGGAACAGGCAGCAAAGATGGTTCCAGGGATGCTGCCACTTTGAGCCTCGGGGCTTATAAATTCAAGAGCACAGTGGGTTCAACCTTCTAACAGGAAGTGCGAACTAACTCACAGCCAGACTTCACCAGGAGGGCGAGACGGTCGTAGCTGAAGGCACTGTAATCAAGGCACACACCCATTGCCAGAGTTTGTTTTCCTTCTGGTTACTCTGATAAATCTAGACGCCACTCTGTTGGAGAACCAGCACTGCCGGTAGCTGGGGTTAGTCTGCAAGCTAGCAGGGTGTGAGGGCCTGCTCACTGGTAATAAAATTTCTTGTTAGGGCTGTTAGCGTGGTCGACCAACAGCTGGCATGGGGTGAACTGTTTTCCATAGGCGGCCTCGTACTTCCTGAGCCGGTCCACTATTTTCTGAGCACCATATAGATCAACGAAGCGGAAGGGCCCTAAATGGAGAAACAGGACTTTGTTGAAGGAGACAGCAACACAAGCGCTAGGATAAAGCCAGTCACCTTCCCAACTAGCAAGACCAACCTCCCAGACAGGGGGGGAAGCCGAGCCCAAAGACCGCTCCGATGTCTCCCTCTGCAGGCGTGGCCAAGACCCCTTCCTGCAGGCACATGACGGCCTCATTCACGAATCTTGTCACCAGGCGGTACTGAATGTCTTCATCAGAGGAGCTGCCAACAGGGAAAGATGTCCAGGTAGAGGAGGAGTAAGAGGGGAGGGACAGGTGCGGAAGCCGCAGGTGCAGAACATGAATGAGGCTGGTGCTACTGGAGCTCCGAGGACCAGCCTGTACCGAACCTCCAGCTCTGTAAGAGGGTGCCGCCAGGAGGCCAGCCGTTCCCTTGGAAAAAGCGGGGAGCTATTCACCCTAATTAACCTGAAACTGAGCACCTAGAACAGGGTCTGGCAGAGTAACAGTAAGTATCTCTCAAGATCAGCAGCTGTCAAGTACACATGATAATAAAGGGTTTGGAGCGTGAAAGGGACTAGGATGATTGTCTTTCAGGCTGCTCTCTGGGACCTTCAGAGGGAAGGCTGGAGCAGGGGTCTTCTCAAAGCTCAGCTGCAGCCCTCACCCTCATGCCTGGCAGAGGACGAGGCGGCAAGTGGAAGGGCAAAATGTTTAAAGCATCAGGAGTGTTTTTTCTGGTCAGGTAGGGTGATCACAACAAAGGAGAAGGAAGAGGGGCCGAGAAGCTTGGGCTGATGAGAAACATGTTTCCATGCTATAGCTGCTCAATTAACTTACACATCAGGCTTAGGAGGTATCTTCAGACTTGCCAAGATACTATCCATGTCAGAATTCAAATTCTTAGTCTTCATGCCCTCCTGGTAGATGTAAAAGCCCTTCCCGGACTTGCGGCCTAAAAGAAGCAAGAAAAGGGAGAGTTACAAATTCTCAGAGCCTGCCTGAGAATTCTCTTCTCTCTAGTCTGCTATAAAGCTCTAGCCTCTCATTTGTATTCCTGAATTTGTATATCTAGCCAACCCTAGAAATTGAGTGTCAGAAGAGTTGGCAGAGAAGGAAAAGAGATGTTGTGTTTTCTGGACCTTGGAAATCGGTGTATGCAGATGGAAAAGGCCACGTGGGTGAGTTTTAATGTCCAGGCCCTAAGATGCCCAGGACCTAGCACTGACTTTGCTAAAGCTACTTTGCCAAGACAGGTGTTTAGGAAACACTCTTTCACAGGTCCTTCTGTAACTCTTTGGTCTCAGGAAACTTTGTAACTAATGGTGCTAGTTATGTTTCCTTGAGGCTACTCACCGAGGAAGCCCTTGGACACCATCTGCCTCAGCAGTTCTAGGCTTCCACCTTCAAACCGCTCCCCAAAGGCTTTGCCCAGATCTTCTGCTACGTGTTTTGCTACATCCACGCCAACTTCGTCCACCAGTGTGGTAGCACCCACAGGAAAGCCAAAGCTCGTGGTAAGGGAATCCAGCTTCTTAGGGTCAACTCCTTCCTGAGCGGGAAGGAAAGCAGGGACCTCAGGAGAAGGCTATCCCTGAACCCCCACAAGGGCTCCCTGTGCTCGTCCTCAGAAACAGCCTTGTGCAACACCCACTTCTCTTCTGGGTGCCACTGGGCCAGGCCCAGGACTGTTTCACTCAGGGAAGCACAAAGAGGCTTGGGAGCCTCAAGGGGAAAGGCTGAGCGTTCCCTAACCTACAGCACTTTAAGGAAGTTTAGAGATGAACAAATTTTTCATTTCCTTCTTGTCTGCAATTCTGAATCTCAATAATAATGAGATTCCATGGCAGACAGGGCTAAGTTTCCCATGACCAACAGAAGAGACATTACCAAGGAGCAGTGCTACAGAGCCCTGTGGTCCCTGTGTCTGACAGTGACTGGTGAGGAGGGGCCACCCCCCTTCCTGCCGGTGAATGACCTGTATGGCCCTGGGAGGGGTCTGTGCGCG